CAGCATTTCCCATTTCGTTAAATGTTTGGATTCAACCTAACCTAAAAGCGTGAGTGTTTGAAAGACTATTGTAGTGACAGCTGACAGCTTGTTTAATATTATTCATTTAATTTGCTAACAACATATGTTATGATTATTGTTTGTTGTTTATATTTGAGTTGTTACCTAGTTACATAAATAAAAGGTTGTACATTTTTCTTGTAATTATTTGACACCGCTACTAACTTATGATTTAAATGCTTTATAGTAACCATAGGAAACATAATATGTTTCCTATGGTTACTATAAAGCATTATAATGTGTAACGCGAGTGCAAACCTTAGTTTTTCCAGCACTCATGTTTTGTAATTTGTTTAACTTCTGCTTTTTTAAGGTCACAGTAAAATCCCTTGTTACTGTATAACGTCTGCATCTTTTAACATCATCAATTCGTAGAAAAATGACTATGACATCTTGCTCCTGAATCGAACTAGCAGCTTTCAGGTCTTGAGGTAAGCACTAATATCACTCGCCAACCAAGAGTGAATAATTATTTGTGTTATTGTAGCCTAGACAACTAGTACAACTCTTTATATTTTACAAATACATGCACTCCAAGACTACTTAAAATTGAATGTGGTTCAATAGTATCCCACAGTGTCGTGCTGGTCTTCTAGAATACTTGGGATATTTCCATAATGTGACAAGGAATGCCGTGTTGCTTGGACGAAGTCAAGGATTTCAAAACAATTGGCCATTAAACCTTACAGTCTTGTCCAGTTAATGTACAAACCAATAAACTTGTAATAGCAAGTAGATATAACAATACCCCGCCGCAGCAAACCTGCCGACTAAGCGAATTTCCAGTTGCCTGGATTGATTTTCAATTAAATCTATTTAATTAACATTAGGTTTTATGAGTACATAGGCTTGCTGCTACAAGGAGGGTAAAAAGTGTGTTTTTTGGTAAAATATAAAATAATAAAAACTTAGTATAAAATAAATAAACTTACCAAGTTTGATCAAGTACCACTCTGTACAGATTTTTTTTGGCCAAAATGTATATAGCGTTATTGCTTAGGTCAAGACAAACACATTTCACCATAGGAACATGGGTCTGTGGTGCCTAGTTTTCCGTCTGTCCGTATTTATGTGATTTTTACAAAAGAATTAATAACTCCTAAACGGTTTGAGATACAGCGTTAAGATTTTTCATAAATGTTAATCTTATTACGTCCTATCTTTGCTTTGTTTAAAATTATACTAAAAAATCATTCACCATTTGAAAATGGCAGACATCTAAAATATTGTATGCAACATTTCACGAAAACCGTTAACTTTACAAAAACATTGCAAGGCACAAAAAAGTTAGTACATTTTATGTAGTTTTCAATGATATCTTATTTGCTAAAATTGGATAAATGATAACTGAAAAATATCTTCTTTTCCAAATGCATGGCCACTTTTCTCCATTAAACAATGCTAATACTTCTTTTACATTGTCTAAATAATGAAAAGGCTAATAATTTATTAGTATAATTTTAAACAAAGATAGGTCTTAATAAGAAAAACATTTTTGAAAAATCTTAACGCTGTATCGGTATCTCAAATGGTTTAGGATTTATAAATTTTTGGTAAAAAAACACATAAATACCTACCGATGGAAAACTAGGCACCACAGACCCATGTTCCTATGGTGAAATGTGTTTGTCTTGACCTAAGTAATAACGCTATATACATTTGTCCAGAGAGTTACGGGACACCCTGTATACATAACCACAGTGCGTCGTCTGCGCAATAGTTATTATCACAGACAATAGGTTATTATTCAATATTATACGTAATTATTATACTATAAAATATTTACCAGAAGTGTTTAATAAATCAAACTGTTACTAACAGCGTGAATTGTTAATTTTGTCGCACAGTTTTTTTCGCACACCAGTATTCCAACCAAACACAAAACAGCGCGCTTTTATTAGGCACGTAATACGTGTAAATACGTCATAGCTCATAAATCTATTAGTTACATCAACTTTAAATTAATCATCAACTTTGAAACTCATAGAAAATTACGACTTAAAAGCAATCATGTTTAATACCGGCAGCCACATTGATAACTTCTTGATTTCGAGCACTCATAAAACTTATGACGATTTTTAGTTTTAAAGTAATTCCTTCCTATATAATACAGGAACTTGACAATTCCTCGATTTCGAGCAATAGGTACACTAGTAATTTTATATAACACACAGATAACTCTACATATTTTTTAATAACTATTGTAAATTAAAAATTCGTGTTTGATGTAAATAATTATTAATGAAAAATGTATCTTATAAAAGCGGTACAAATGGATTATATTTCTAAAGTCACTTAAATAAATAAGTTTCTAACTCATTCATTATGTTGACTTCAAAATTTACCCTTCCGCCGCTATTAAAACATTGGTAACGCAATGGCATAGGCATAACCATAGATTAAACATCATCCTCCTCAAGAGAGTATATTTTACCACCAATTATTGATCTCAGGTTTAGGTAAGAGAATCAACTCTCGGCTTTTCAAACAATTAACATATTTTAATTGACAAAATTAATGGATTGGCGTTAGCGTCAGATGGGGTAGTCTTGTACGAGAAACTCAAAAATCACTGTGAGTGTCAACGGATTAAAAGATTTTTAGTTGATTAGCACAACTTTAAATCGAAAAATGTGATCTTTTATTAAAATCTATTAATGATTATCTTTCTACCTTAAGCCAAGTTTGTCATAAAATTGTTATACAGTTTAAATAAATTATTATCAAATTAAACGCATCTTCGTGGATTGAATAAGTCGATATCAGTGACACCTAGCGGTGATTGGGAGAACTGTTGCGAGCGTGTACGATAGCGACATCTAGCAGTGTTTGACTGAACTATCAACTCCGTGTTGCATCCCGTGCCCGTAATGATATTTTATGTTAAGTACCAGGGGATGAAAAAATAATGCCTTGCTCAGTTAATTGGTTTTTAGCGTCAAAACAATAGTGTAAACAAACACATTTTATAATTTACGAAAAACCTTTTTATTACAAACCATAGACGTGTTATCGCTGAAATAAGAAACAACTCTGTAATGTTATACCAGTATGCTGAATCTATGGTTGTACTCTGTAAAAGTATTCAATTTAAACAAAATACCCTAGCCGCAGCAAACCTGCCGACTAATCATATTTCCATTTGCCTGAATTGATTTGCAATTAGATACACTAAAATCCTACGATGCAAACGAGCTGAGGAAGGGGTTTTAAAGAAACATGCTTGCCTATTATAATATAAAAGCGGTGCAAATGGTTGTCCACTTTCTAATGTTGATTAAATAAAGATTTTTTATTAACTTATTCATTTGGTGGACATATCTAAATTTTACCTTCCGTCGCTATTTAAACTAATACGCAAAGTTTGCGTACAACTGGAATTTAGCGAAGACTGCGTACAACAAAAAAGGTTGATGTTTGACTAGGGTGAAACAGGCCTGACCTTTGTGTCAATGGAATTTGATAGGCGAAGTTATCGTACACCACCAAGAACCACGGCTAGGTGTTGACTATTAACATTTGACTAAAGTAAAAATCTGTTATAACATTTGGCATAAAACTGATACAAATGAAAGTATTGAGCTTTGAAATTACTATGTAGATAAATGAATACTAGTGGCTTGTATATAAGTCCCTAAAAAGCTCAAATACAAAACAAATTTTTGTAATAATTAAACAAACTCAGAATCAAATTATCTATATGTCTGGTTAGAAATGGGAAAATACTATCAATGTATCAATGTAACACCAATGTATCAATGTAGAAGTGGTGAGGGAAATAGTAAGGTGAGCGGTCCGGAGTGTGGCAACTGTTTACGACAATTAGATTAAGGTATATACAATCCTAAAATGCTATGGGAAGGGAGGGAAACAGAGGTCCACGACGTAGGAAGTGGTGAAGGAAGTAGTAAAGGTGAGTAGTCCGGAGTGTGGGAACTGTTTATGAGGATTAGATTAAGGTATCTGCAATCTTAAAATGCAATGGGAAGGGAGGGAAACAGGTCCGTGACGTAGGAAGAGGTGAATGAAGTAATAAAGGCGAGCAGTGTTGAGTCTGGGAACTGGAAACCAATTGTAACAGTTAGATTTATGTATCTGAAATTGAAATACTGAAATGCTATGAGAAGGGATGGAAAAATGTCCAAGACATAGGAAATGGTGAAAGAAGTATTAAATGCTTTTTAACAGTGCGGAGTGAGGGAAATGTGCGTGGCAATTAGGTTAATGTATTTAAAATACTAAAATGCTATGGAAAGAGATGACAACAGGTCCACGACGTAGGAAGTAGTAAAGTTAAGCATCGCAGAGTGTGGGAACCGTTTGTGGCAGTTAGATTAATGTATCTGCAATACTTAAATGCTATGAGAAGGGAAGGAAATAGGTCCATGACGTAGGAAATGGTGAAGGAAGTAGTAAAGGGGGAATCGCAGAGTGAGGGAATTATTTTCCCCGAGCAAAGCTCGGTCCCCAGGTTAGTGAAACTTATTTACCAACCTTGGTTATTTTGCATGTAATTGTATTTTGTGAATGTATTTTTTGATGTACCCCTTGAGGGAAAATCAATAAAAAGGATGATGATGATAAAAAATTTATTTTTTATAACAAGTTGAAGATAGTCAGGCAGTTATAAAACTGGCATGTTTTGCTAATGTTTGAACAGTAATGAACAGATTAGTTCGATTGATTGATTAATAGGATATTTTTATTTACTTTTGGAATTTTTATTAGTAAACTTAAAGTAAAATCAACACTTTGTTTTTACGTCTTTATTTTTTAAATTGATATCTTTAAGAGAAGTAAAAAAGTTGATAGTCAGTCAGTTTAAACTGCCATGCTGCTTGCAAATGCCAGAGCAGCAATCAACATGACAGTTTGATTGATTGATATTCCCTAACAACCAATAGGAGCACACAAGTGTTTGTGCGCAAATTGGTAAAAATATCCAACCTAAAATTTAAAACATTTACTACTGTACAAGTCTTGGAGCCACCAACCAAAAATGATTCGTTTGGTTCTAGTTTCTTCTTTCATTTTGATCTTGGTAAATATTACATCCATATCTTTAAGTTTTCTATAGTTCGAGAAAGAGAAAAATCTTGTTCATAGTAGATTAAAAGTGGAAAAAAGGAAAGATTTTTACTGTTAATGGTTTTTACTGTTAACTTGGGATGAACTGATGTTATTCACACCCATCCATAATTTTTCTTTTGTTATTGATTTATGTTTACTGAATTAATATTTTTATAAGACATTCCATAATCTTGTAGTTTAAATTTTAATACGGATTAAGATAAATTATGGTTCACCTTACCTGACATCAGATGAAACCTAAGCAGAGTTTTAACCCCGCCAACGGCGACCCTTCTTTCTTCTCTTTTCTTTTCAGGTGTCGTCCAAGTGTTTCAATATAATTTAGCTCTTTAGTTCTTATCTTAGCCTCGGAGTTCCAATCGATATACTGCTTTCTGCACCGTTTGTCCAGATCCAACGTTGTATACTAGAGACTTTATATTTTTTCAGGGTTCCTACGAAACCAAAGGTGCACCAAATGACCTTCCACTCAAGAATGACGAGACACGTCCTCCCTATCGATCGATTGGTAAGTAACCAAACTGTTTTAGACATAACTCTACTATAACAAAATATTTGATCATATGATTTTCCTATTGATGTGTCTTTTCTAACATACTGTATGTTTAGTAAAATACCATATGTTATGTTTAATAAGTTAACTTTGTTTTTGTTTACAATCATTGTTATTTAGGATTCATTTCAGAATACAGCTATTTTATTTTACACATCTTTTATTTAATATGTAACAGTTTGGCGACGAGGAAAACCAGTTTTTAATTTTTTTTTTACATTCTATTTATTACAATTTATTTTCTAATATGAGTGACCTAAGTAACACTGAAAGTTTGACTGATTTAAAGAAGATTAGAGTAGTAGTGAAGGGTCAGTTGTCTAAGGCTGAAAGATGGCTAGCAAACCTACAAAACATGTCAAAAGAAGTAATCAAAACCAGGATAACAACAATTGAAGAGTATTGGGAAAGATTTAATTCTGTACAACAATTAATAGAAGAGAAAACTGAAGAAGTTGAAATTGAGAAAGAAATAGATTACAGAGTAGAAATGGAGGACAAATATTACAAGGTAATGGATGAGTTACAAAAACGTATGGGACAGCTTGCAGAACTACAAGTGAACATTCAACATATTGTGCCTAGTACATCAAATTTGTCTTCTCCACAACGTCGATCCACTACTTCCTCAATGATTTTCACACCATATCAGGAAAATGAATCATTCAAGAACTTCATTCGTCGATTTGAGATATTTCTATATCTACATAGCCAAGAATTGGAACCAATGGATCAAGTGTACACAATGCTACATGCCTTAACGCCACATTTACATCAGAAGCTGTATGATTTGTGCGCTCCTGAAAGTCCTTTGGATAAAACATATGCTGAATTAGTAAGTCTTTTGGCGGATTATGTTGACCCTAAACCTAGTACTTGGGCCTTACAACACAAATTTATGACAAGAACACAAGAATCTGAAGAAACCGTAAAAATATATTCCGTTGAGCTTCAAAAGTTATCTTCAGACTGTGACTTCAACTGTAATAATTGTGGGAAATCAATTGCAAACACATTACTACGCATGCAGTTTATAAGAGGTATTAGCAATTCAGACATAAGAACAAAATTACTACAAGAAAGATCTGCTTCATCGTTTCAAGATGTAGTGAAACTTGCCTCCATCATGGAAATGGCAAAGAACGAAAGCCATATAGTAGAAGAAAACATTCATTCAAATGAGAAAATCAACAAGATAGCAGGTAGGCCTACAGAAACAAAACCACCCCATTTTTCTACTACTTGGAACAAAAAGTTAATGTCTCCATTTGAACGCCTCAAAGGTAAATGCTATCGTTGTGGATCACCTAGACACAGGGCACATCAGTGTAAATTTATCGGAGAAATATGTAAGAAATGCAACAAACAAGGGCATATTGCTAGCGTATGTTTGGGCACAAAACAAACAGAAATTCATTGTACTGAAACTGACAATACTACATACTATTATAAGGAAGAGAAACAAGAAGTTTTTAAGATACACAACCAGAATGCCGGTAATGATAAGTTTATGGTCGAGATACTTATTGAAGGTAAACCTGTGCGGATGGAATTAGATACTGGAGCAGCAATAAGTATTCTACCATACTCTACCTTCAAAAGTCTCAACATAAATAAAAAGATTTTCCACACAAACATAGAACTAAGGACATACTCAAGCGAAATAATCAAACCCCGGAGAGTCGTCTTTGTAGAATGCACTTACAATGATCAGGTATTTGTTGGTAAACTCTACATAGTGAACCAAAATGTTGATGCAATTTTCGGAAGAGAATGGATTAGAGAGGTCAAACTGGATTGGGCAGAACTTAAAACAGTTAGAAGCAATACTACATCTACTGCACTCGAAGATCTTTTGGATGAATTCAAAGAATTATTTGAACCAGGAGTAGGACTCATACCTCACAAAAGAGCACACTTACAGCTTGTTGAAGGGGCAAGACCTATTTTTGTGAAAGCTCGTCCAGTCCCATATGCACTAACTGAAAAAGTAGAACTCGAGTTGAATCGTCTGGAAGAAGCTGGAATCATTTCCAAAACGGACAAGTCCGATTGGGGTACTCCAATTGTACCTGTAGTGAAGCCTAATGGTAACATACGAATATGCGCTGATTACAAGGTTACAGTAAATAAACAAATCAAAGAAGAACATCATCCAATACCTCGGATCGAAGATATTTTTGCTCAAATGAATGGAGGACAGTTGTTCTGTACTTTGGATTTAAGTAACGCTTATCTCCACTTGGAAATGGATGCTGAGAGTGCAGAAATTCAAACTTTGAGCACTCATAAAGGACAATACACAGTTAACAGACTGATGTTTAGTGTAAAAGTTGCTCCAGGGGTTTGGCAAAAGGTGATGGATGGAATCCTTCAAGACCTTCAAGGTGTTCAGTGCTTCTTCGACGATATAATAATTCAAGGAACGTCATCAAAAGAACTACTAGAAAGACTAAAGCAAGTGTTTGAGCGTTTAAGGAGTCAAAATTTGAAGTTGAACCGTGACAAGTGCAAATTTTTTCAAAAGAAAATTGAATACCTAGGACATATTATTGACGCCACTGGAATCCACAAAAGTAAGGATAAAATCACAGCAATTACAAATGCACGAAGGCCTCAAAACATACAAGAACTCCGATCTTTCCTAGGGCTTGTTAATTACTACAACCGGTTTGTAAAGAATTTGTCCACTGTTTTAAATCCTTTACATAGACTTCTAAAAAAAGGGCAGTCATTCATATGGGACAGTAAGTGTGAAGAAGGTTTCCAAAACATAAAGAAAAGAATAACAAGTGACACAGTCCTTTGTCACTTTAACCCAGACCTGCCATTGATCCTTGCAACTGACGCTTCACCTGTGGGACTTGGAGCAGTGATATCACATCGTTTCCCAGATGGAAGTGAAAAGCCTATAGCTTTTGCTTCAAGATCATTGACCAATGCTGAAAAACATTACAGCCAAATCGATAAAGAAGCCACAGGTATATACTGGGGGTTGAAGAAATTTTTTTCTTATTGCTACGGGCGTCATTTTACACTCATCACGGACCATAAACCATTAGTGTCAATCTTCAATCCCAACAAGAGCCTACCATCAATGTCAGCTACGCGACTATTCAACTACTCCCATTTTTTATCAGGATTTAACTATACAATTGAATTCAAGAGAACTGGTGATCATGGCAATGCAAATTTCCTCTCAAGATTTCCTGTGGAAGATTCAAAATTTACAAGTATTGACCAGTTTGGACATTTTCAAACAAACCAATTGAACACCATAACCATCAATCCCAAAGAACTGGCCGAAGAAACTATGAAGGACACATATCTAAAACAAATTGTGGAGGCTCTTGAGGAGGGTCAATCACTAGAGCCATTGGGATTTCACGATAATGAAGTTACATTACATGAAGGATGCCTCTTCAAAGGGTGGAAAGTAATCATCCCAAATTCCCTCAAGAAAAGAATTCTCAATGAACTACACTACGGGCACATTGGTATAGTAAAAACCAAAGCTTTGGCCAGAAGTTACTGCTTTTGGAGAGGAATGGATAAAGACATTGAAAACATGATTGCTGTTTGCAAGCCTTGTCGGGAGAAACAAAATTCTCCAACGAAAGAGATCAATCATCCTTGGGAACCAGCAACTCAGCCATGGGAGAGAATACATATAGATTTCATGGGCCCAACAAATGGACAACAATTTTTAATTGTTGTTGATGCCTTCTCCAAATGGGTAGAGGTAATACCCACAAAAACAGCAACTACCGATTGGACTATTAAGGAGTTGAAGAAACTTTTTAGTACTTTATGTCTTCCAAGCCTCCTAATTTCAGACAATGGACGAAGTTTCACTTCTCTTACTTTTCAAGAGTTTCTTAAGTCATGTGGAACTCAACACAAAACGACTGCTCCGTTCCACCCATCATCTAATGGACAAGCTGAACGCTTTGTACAAACAGTGAAGAAGATGTTGAAGTCGATATTAGATGAACCTGGAACACTTGACAGTAAAATTCACAAGGCGTTAATTCAACTCCGTCAAGTACCAAACTCAACAGGAAACTCGGCATACTATCTCATGTTCAACAGACGAGTAAGAACTTACCTCAGTGTTATGATACCTTCTAGAATCGAGGACTCAAAAGACAAACCTAAAGGTATAACACGCATATTTAGGGTCGGAGACCGTGTTCAAGTGAGAAACTACTACAAGGGTCAGAGAAAATGGAGTTTCGGAAAAGTTACATCAAGAGATGGAAATCCACATTACAACGTTGAACTGGAGAACGGAGTAACATGCAGACGACATGTAGATCAAATGCTGCGGTCAAGACTTTAAAGGGGGAAAATTGATGTGTCTTTTCTAACATACTGTATGTTTAGTAAAATACCATATGTTATGTTTAATAAGTTAACTTTGTTTTTGTTTACAATCATTGTTATTTAGGATTCATTTCAGAATACAGCTATTTTATTTTACACATCTTTTATTTAATATGTAACACCTATTAAGAGTTTTTATCACCGTGACCGTAAGAATAGGGCTGGATCATCAGGCATTTACGGTGAATAACAACAAAGGTAGCCAAACACATAAGGCAAAACCCAACTCTAACGATAACTTTTCTTGATTCCCTCACGATTCTAGACACACCCACTAAAACCATTAGCGAAAGTACAACAAAGCTACAAAATATATAAACAATATGTAAATATAAATTAATTGAACATCTCCTAAAAAAGAAGATTATACAATCCTTAGTGTCCGCAATCTCCCTTACACCGACAAACACATACACACACATACACACACACACACAACACATCTTTGGGTTCAGGGCTACTCAAAACGTATTTTTACACCCAAAACTAAAAACCTGAAAATTTCGAAGAAAACAATAGTTTCTCCATTTACTATGTAAATGGGGAGAAAGTAAAAATGTGAAGACTCACCTCGTGCGGCCTTTATACAGACATATAGGTAGCGCATGAATTTATCAGTGGAAGTGATACTGATGTCATTAAATCATTATTTGTTTTGTGGTTTCAGAAGGAAAAGATCTTTTGGGTTTGGCTGGTGGTGCTATGATCTTTGCTGGTGGTGTTGTGAAAACTGCTGGGGTGGTTAACCTGGGTCTGGCGCCATTATATTTTGCTCCACCAGTTGCTGCGGGAGTCTGCCTGACGTACGCAGTTGTGAGTTACGGATTTAAAAAAACTAAGGAAGCTGCGGGTTACGTAACAGAAAAAGCTCAGGAAGCTGCGAGTTACGTAACAGAAAAAGCTCAGGAAGCTGCCGTATCCGGAGTAAACGATGAAATAAGCAAGAAATTGTCGTAAAAACAAGCAGATGAATTGAATAGTGCCTTTTGGTGTGAAAAACTTATGGCATTAAATTTTGAATAGACAATTTTATGTACTTAATATTTCAGTCCCTGTATTTATTGCACATCAGTATGCTGTATTTTCAGTTGCACATCAGTATACAGTATTTTCAGTTGCACATTAGTATACAGTATTTTCAGTTGCACATTAGTATACAATATTTTCAGTTGCACATCGGTATACAGTATTTGCAGTTACACATTAGTATACAGTATTTTCAGTTGCACATTAGTATACCGTATTTTCAGTTGCACATCAGTATATAGTATTTTCAGTTGCACATTAGTATACAGTATTTTTAGGTGTGCCGCATGGAGCTGGATTATGTGAAGAGCTTCCATTTCTTTCCCAACCAACGTGATGTGATTGTGATGAACTTGTGTGTGCATATAGCCTTATAGGCTGATATAGCCTTATCACTCTAATTATATCCTTTCTATATATTGTCTATATATTCTATATATATTGACACCGGTAAGTGCGGGTGGGACTCGCCCATTAATATGTACTGGGTGGACCCGCCCATTAATATGTGCCGGGTGAGATCGCCCATTAATATGTGCCAGGTGGACTCGCCCATTGTTGCACTTAAGTTCACTCTACCCGTTACGCTCAGAGTTAGCGTGCTACTAGTTACAAGTGAAAGGAAATAGAACATGGATATTATTTTTGGTAAACACTTTGTGTAGGTTGATCAGAGAGAGTAGTTCCGTAGCGAAGTCAAAACTTCAACGGGCTTAAAGCATAGCTGTAAAAAACTCCTAAAAGTATGTCAGACGAAGGGGGCGGGCAATGGCTAGTATTCTATACTTTTACATCTTCATTTTAAAATTTTATTTTTTATTTTAAGTTGAAGATAGTCAGGCAGCTAAAAACTGGCATGTTTTGCTAATGTTTGAACAGTAATGAACAGATTAGTTCGATTGATTGATTAACAGGATATTTTTTATTTACTTTTGTAATTTTTATTAGTAAACTTGAAGTGAATCGACAAATATGTTTTTACGTCTTTTATTTTTTAAATTGATATCTTTACGAGAAGTAAAAAAGTTGACAGTCAGTCAGTTTAAACTGCCATGCTGCTTGCAAATGCCATAACAGCAATCAACATGACAGTTTGATTGATTGATATTCCCTAACAACCAATAGGAGCACACAAGTGTGCGCAAATTGGTAAAAATATCCAACCTAAAATTTAAAACATTTACTACTGTACAAGTCTTGGAGGCACCAACCTAAAATGATTCGTTTGGTTCTAGTTTCTTCTTTCATTTTGATCTTGGTAAATATTACATCCATATCTTTAAGTTTCCTATAGTTAGAGAAAGAGAAATATCTTGTTCATAGTAGATTAAAAGTGAAAAAAGGAAAATTTTTTACTGTTAATGGTCTTTACTGTTAACTTGGGATGAATTGAAATTATTCCCACCCATCCATAATTTTTCTTTTGTTATTGATTTATGTTTACTGAATTAATATTTTTGTAAGACATTCCATGATCTTGTAGTTTAAATTTTAATACGGCTTTGATAGATTACGGTTTACCATACCTGACATCAGATGAAACATAAGCAGAGTTTCAACCCCGCCAACGGCGACCCTTCTTTCTTGCCTTTTCTTTTCAGGTGTCGTCCAAGTGTTTCAATATAATTTAGAGTCGGGACCGCTTAAGTTTGCAGTTGAGGGAGGAGCCTATTGACCATATGGGTTTGAATGAACCAATGAGAACCGTGCGGTGTTGCCAAATGTAATAATACCAGCTGATTTGAAAATATTGCTCAGTATATTTTATTAGTGCGATGTGGCAACGTTGCACTAGCCTTGTCTTGTGATTGGCTGCCACCAACTGCAAACTTACGTGGTCCCGACTCTAGCTCTTTAGTTCTTATCTCAGCCTCGGAGTTCCAATCGATATACTGCTTTCTGCAACGTTTGTCCAGATCCAACGTTGTATACTAAAGACTTTATATTTTTTCAGGGTTCCTATGAAGCCAAAGGTGCACCAAATAACCTTTCACTCAAGAATGACGAGACACGTCCTCCCTATCGATCAATTGGTAAGTAACCAAACTGTTTTAGACATAACTCTACTAAAACAAAATATTTGATCATATGATTTTCCTATTAAGAGTTTTTATCACCGTGACCTGGATCATCAGGCATTTACGGTGAATAACAACAAAGGTAGCCAAACACTTAAAGCAAAACCCAAATCCAACGATAACTTTTCTTGATTCCCTCACGATTCTAGACACACCCACTAAAACCATTAGCGAAAGTACAATAAAGCTACAAAATATATAAACAATATGTAAATATAAATTAATTGAACATCTCCTAAAAAAGAAGTATACAATCCCTAGTGTCCGCAATCGCCCGTACACCGACAAACACACACACACACAACAAATCATTGGGTTCAGGGCTACTCAAAACGTATTTTTACACTTAAAACTAAAAACCTGAAAATTTCGAAGATAACAATAGTTTCTCCACATACAATGTAAATGGGGAGAAAGTAAAAATGTGAAGACTCGCCTCGTGTGGCCTTTATACAGACATATAAATGCGCATGAATTTATCAGTGGAAGTGATACTGATGTCATTAAATCATTATTTGTTTTGTGGTTTCAGAAGGAAAAGATCTTTTGGGTTTGGCTGGTGGTGCTATGATCTTTGCTGGTGGTGTTGTGAAAACTGCTGGGGTGGTTAACCTGGGTCTGGCGCCATTATATTTTGCTCCACCAGTTGCTGCGGGAGTCTGCCTGACGTACTTAGTTGTGAGTTACGGATTTAAAAAAACTAAGGAAGCTGCGGGTTACTTAACAGAAAAAGCTCAGGTAGCTGCGAGTTACGTAACAGAAAGAGCTCAGGAAGCTGCCGTATCCGGAGTAAACGATGAAATAAGCAAGAAATTGTCGTAAAAACAAGCAGATGAATTGAATAGTGCCTTTTGGTGTGAAAAACTTATGGCATTAAATTTTGATTAGACAATTTAATGTACTTAATATTTCAGTCCCTGTATTTATTGCACATCAGTATGCTGTATTTTCACATCAGTATGCAGTATTTTCAGTTGCACATCAGTATACAGTATTTCAGTTGCACATTAGTATACAGTATTTTCAGTTGCACATTAGTATACAGTATTATCAGTTGCACATCAGTATATAGTATTTTCAGTTGCACAGTAGTATACAGTATTTTTAGGTGTGCCGCATGGAGCTGGATTATGTGAAAAGCTTCCATTTCATTCCCAACCAACGTGATGTGATTGTGATGCACTTGTGTGTGCATGGTACCTGGGGCTGATATAGCCTTATCACTCTAATTATATCCTTTCTATATATTGTCTATATATTATATATATATTGACACCGGTAAGTGCGGGTGGGACTCGCCCATTTATATGTGCTGGGTGGACCCGCCCATTAATATGTGCCGGGTGAGATCGCCCATTAATATGTGCCAGGTGGACTCGCCCATTGTTGCACTTAAGTTCACTCTACCCGTTACGCTCAGAGTTAGCGTGCTACTAGTTACAAGTGAAAGGAAATAGAACATGGATATTATTTTTGGTAAACACTTTGTGTAGGTTGTTCAGAGAGAGTTGTTCCGTAGCGAAGTCAAAACTTCAACGGGCTTATAGCATAGCTGTTAAAACTCCTAAAAGTATGCCAGACGAAGGGGGCGGGCAATGGCTAGTATTCTATACTTTTACATCTTCATTTTTAAATTTATTTTTTATAAAAAGTTGAAGATAGTCAGGCAGCTAAAAACTGGCATGTTTTGCTAATGTTTGAACAGACATGAACAGATTAGTTCGATTGATTGATTAATAGGATATTTTTATTTACTTTTGTAATTTTTATTAGTAAACTTGAAGTGAAATCGACAAATATGTTTTTACGTCTTTTATTTTTTTAATTGATATCTTTAAGAGAAGTAAAAAAGTTGATAGTCAGTCAGTTTAAACTGCCATGCTGCTTGCAAATGCCAGAACGGCAATCAACATGACAGTTTGATTGATTGATATTCCCTAACAACCAATAGGAGCACACAAGTGTTTGTGCGCAAATTGGTAAAAATATCCAACCTAAAATTTAAAACATTTACTACTGTACAAGTCTTGGAGCCACCAACCAAAAATGATTCGTTTGGTTCTAGTTTCTTCTTTCATTTTGATCTTGGTAAATATTACATCCCTATCTTTAAGTTTCCTATAGTTAGAGAAAGAGAAAAATCTTGTTCATAGTAGATTAAAAGTGAAAAAAGGAAAACTTTTTACTGTTAATGAAATAACTTGGGATGAATTGAAATTATTCCTACCTATCCATAATTTTTCTTTTGTCATTGATTTATGTATACTGAATTAATATTTTTTAAGATAAACCATAATCTTGTAGTTTACATTTTAATACGGCTTTGATAGATTATGGTTTACCGTACCTGACATCAGATGAAACCTAAGCGGAGTTTTAACCCCGCCAACGGCGAACCTTCTTTCTTCTCTTTTCTTTTCAGGTGTTGTCCAAGTGTTAATTTAGCTCATTAGTTCTTATCTCAGCCTCGGAGTTCCAAGCGATATACTGCTTTCTGCAATGTTTGTCCATATTTTAATAACGAAAGTAGTATGCTACCTCCATACACGTATTGTCTTATTGTTTTAGTCCGAGCTAAAAGATCTGGGTTTTAATAATAATATATATATATATATATTCTCTGTTTTTCTGATTTTCCAGCCTTCTTCAGCTTTTACCAGACTAGATATTTTTCTTGGTTCTTATGGATATTTTATAAGTATTATTTTTTTTATAATCAGTTTCTCCTCACAACCTTTGTTGATTACAACAACCTCACAACCTGTATTGATTAATCCTCAAGTTTATGGTCCATACAGTTGTACGGGTTGAATTATTGGATGGTTTAATTTATATTGGTAGTTTTGACTGGAGTAACTTAAGTATGGACCAGTAAAAAGTAAAGCCAAAACAATTAATTGTTTCACCAAGCTAGTTTAAATCATATTGTCGAACTCAAAACTGTACACTTTAAGGTTGTCTGATCTGTTTATTCATCCTGTTTGAAAGACCTTCATGCATTTAGTTTTTTCGGTTATTTTTTGGTCTGACTTTGTGTTAGCTTCTTTATCAAGATCCTTTATCCCCACTTATCCATTTCTGTTCTCTGCAAAAATCACCACATCATCAGCAAACGCAAGAACACTATTTATTAGTTGTTATTAAGGCACCATAATTGAGATGGACATGCAAACAAAATAAACATGGTAAAATGCACAACAGTTTTGTTTTCTTATTTGTTTTCTCTAGCATTTTTACTGATGCCATATTTATTATAACCGTCAGGGTGCTTCAACATTAGAGAGAGTAGTCACCCCCTGGATAGAATATATAAAAAACAAAAATTACTTAAATAATACTAATTTCGTATGATACTGCACACGTGATGCCCCTCTATTAGATTCATGGTGTGTAATAAATGTACAAAGAGTACAACGTTCGTACAGAACCGTTACTTAAACATTTTGTATACTAGAGACTTTATATTTTTCAGGGTTCCTACGACGCCAAAGGTGCACCAAATGACCTTTCACTCAAGAATGACGAGGCACGTCCTCTCTATCGATCGATTGGTAAGTAACCAAACTGTTTTAGACATAACTCTACTATAACAAAATATTTGAGCATATGATTTTCCTATTAAGAGTTTTTATCACCGTGACCGTAAGAATAGCACAGGATCAGGCATTTTTACGGTGAATAACAACAAAGGTAGCCAAACACTTAAAGCTAAACCCAACTCTAACGATAACTTTTCTTGATTCCCTCACGATTCTAGACACATCCATTTAAGCCATGAGCGAAAGTACAATAAAACTACAAAATATATAAACAATATGTAAATATAAATTAATTGAACATCTCCTAAAAAAGAAGATTATACAATCCTTAGTGTCCGCAATCGCCCTTACACCGACAAACACACACACACACACACACACACACACACACACACACACACACACACACACAACACATCTTTGGGTTCAGGGCTACTCAAAACGTATTTTTACACCCAAAACTAAAAACCTAAAAATTTCGAAGAAAACAATACCTTCTCCATTTACTATGTAAATGGGGAGAAAGTAAAAATGTGGGGGCTCACCTCGTGCGGCCTTTATAAAAAACATATCGGTAGCGCATGAATTTATCAATGGAAGTGATATTGATAACATTACATTTTATATTGTATTGAGGTTTCAGAAGGAAAAGGTCTTTGGAATTTGATTGATGGTGTTGTGAAAACTGCTGGGGCGATTAACTTGGGTATGGCGGTATTATATTTTGCTCCACCAGTAGCTGCGACAGTCCTGACGTACAGAGCTGTGAATTATGGAATAGACAGAACTCATGAAGCTGCGGGTTACGTAACAGAAAAAGCTCAGGAAACTGCCAGTTACGCTGCTGGTTATGTAGCAGAAAAAGCTCAGGAAGCTGCCGTAAACGCGATCAAAGATGAAATAAACAAGAAATTGTCGTAAAAACGAGCAGATGAGTTGAATAGTGCCTTTTAGTGTGAAAACCCTGGCATTAAATTTCGTTTAACCAAATAAATGTACTTATTATTTCAGTCCCTGTATTTATTGCACATCAGTATACAGTATTTTCAGTTGCACATCAGTATACAGTATTTTCAGTTACACATCAGTATACAGTATTTTCAGTTGCACATCTATTTTTAATTGCACATTAGTATACAATATTTTCAGTTGCACATTAGTATACAGTATTTTTAGGTGTGCCACGTGAAGAGCTTCCATTTCTTTCCCAACCAACGTGATGTGATTGTGATGAGCTTGGTTGTATTTGAAAGTTAAGAGGCAAAAGAGACACAAGACTGCTAAGGGGTTGCTACTGAACCCGAAATTTGTATCAAAAGAGAAATTTAAGAGAGGAGAATATCACTGACGATAGAGTTACACCAGACATATATAACTTTAAATCAACAGCAGCCATGGATCGAACAAAAAGGGAAGTTAAATTTAGAAAGGTTGCATTAAAAAAAGTAGATGAATCTAAGATTGTGTAAAATTAAATAAAATCTTTTGCCTAATTTTATAACAGCTACATGCAATTTTTTTCCACATACACGCACACTCACTTGACAACTATCTTTTTGTCACGGTTTTCTCCTCGTTCTTCTCAGGTCCACGGACTCGAAGTCTCGTCACCCCTCCATCTTCTCCAATACCCTACTCATTGGTTGATTATGAAGGGAGTGGAGGGTATGGTATGGCTTTGGTTAGCGTCTTTTATCAGAATCCATCCCTACCGGTCATGTATATTTGAGTCGTCTTATGGTGTCGTTTTCTTCAGGAAACGTTTTATGACCGCTAATTAGTACTTTTAAGCCAATCATTGGTCTCAGGTAAGAGACTCAACTCTCGGCTTTTATATATTAATGATTAATAGTAAGCTTAAAACGATGTAGATGAGTTTGAGTTCAGATGAGGTAGTCTTGTACGAGCCACCCAAAAAACACTGCGAGTGTCAACGGATTAAAAGGTTTTTTAGCCGATTAGCACAGTTTTAAAACGAAAAAAAAATGATCTGTTATTGAAATGTATCAACGATTATCTTTCTACCTTAAGCCAAGTCTGTTTTAAAATTGTTATACAGTTTAAATAAATTATCTATTCTATATATAATTCAGTTTTACAAATCTTTGTACAACTAAATATAGAGTTCTACTGGACCGATTTTATTAATTGATGGATCTTTGCAAACCTTAATTCGTGTAGATTTGCAAATAATTATGAAAGTTTGTTTTTGTTATGAGTTTTGGTGAAAATTTATAAAAAACATGTTTTCCATAAGAAATACATTGAAAGCGGTGTTTTTCACACTTTTTATTTGGGTGAGACTTTTGGCTGCCTTTTTTTAGTGTTTCCAAGAAGTCTATGGTTGTCTACT